CGATTCTCCTGCCTCACCCTCCCGAGTAGCTGGGATTACAGGTGTCCACCACCACCCCTGGCTAATTGATTTTTAATTGGGTTGTTTGTGTTTTTGTTGTTGAGTTACAGGGGTTCTCTGTGTATTCTGAATACTAAACCCTTGTGAGATATTTGATTTGCAAATATTTTCTGCCATGATGTAGATTGCCCTTTCGTTTTCCTAATGATGTCCTTTGACGCACAGAGGTTATGATTTGGATAAAGTCCACCTTATCTCCTTTTTCATGGAGCCCCACTTTGAATCAGACCTGATTCCTGAGCGTCTCTCATGGGTCTGACATGGAGCAGGGAGCTGCGTGAGACACCAGCCGGCTCAGACTTCCCTGGCCCATGTGGAATCTCATGTGAGGGAAGCGACATGGGTCTGTGCCATCAGGTATCGACCTGAAATGGCTACAGATGAAGCCCTTGGCTGGGAGAAAATCAGAAAAGGCTTCCTGGAGGAAGCACATTTGAGGAAGAATGGGATTCGGAAAAGCATAAAAGAGCAAAAAAGGAGACCAGGGTGGAGGGAACAGCTTTGATGAAGGCAGGGAATGGGAAGAGAAGGTGAACCTGACAGGAGATCCTCGCTCTGATGTTTATTATTCACTTTGATTGGGCACTTGCTGTGCAACAGTCTTGGTTTCCTCATCGGCAACATGGGGATGATGGTGCCCACCATGTCGAGTCAGGTGTGGTGGGGTTTTTGTTAGTGGCAACCTGGGTTCTTATAATCTCCCAGGATAGAAGTCAAGAGAGATCACCAGACACGGCAGCAAAGAAAGTTTATTTTACTCCATGCACAAGGGAGCCAGAACTAAGAAAGAAAAAGGATCGGCTGTTCCTCAAGGCTTGTGCGTGTGTGTTAGTTTTATAGAGTTTTTCTATAGGGGAGGGTTACAGTGGGGCACCTGTGGGAGGCTTTTTCTTTTCCTTTTTTTTTTTTTTTTTGAGACAGCATCTAGCTGTTTTACAATATGGTACTAGTGCTTCTCAAATGGTTACGTGTATACAAATCACCTGGGAATGTTGATAAAATGCAGATTCTGGGCCGGATGCAGTGTAATCCCAGCACTTTGGGAGGCCGAGGTGGGAGGATTGCCTGAGGTCAGGGATTTGTGACCAGTCTGGCCAACGTGGTAAAACCCTGTCTCTACTAAAAATATAAAAAATTCAGCCAGGTGTGGTGGTGTGCGCCTGTAATCCCACGCATACTCGGAAGGCTGAGGCAGGGGAATTGCTTGAACCAGGGAGGCGGAGGTTGCAGTGAGCTGAGATTGCACCACTGCACTGGGTGACAGAGTGAGACTCTGTCTCAAAAAAGAAAATGCAGATTCTGATTCAGGAATTCTAGTTGTTACCTGAGATACTGCCTTTCTAATAAACTCCCAGGCCGTCCAGATGTTGCTAGTTTAGGAGTCACATTTTGAATAGAAACGACCTGATTGATGTATTCGATAAAACTTCACTGCGGACTTTCACAATATACCAGCAACGATGAATAAAACAGCCAGGTTTTTGCCCTTGTGGAGTTTATGCTTTCTTGAAGAAGACAGGAATTAAGTAACAAATTATGTAAGGAAAAGAAGTAGGCATGAGAGGTGTAGCGTCTTTTTTTTTTTTTTTTTTTTTTGAGAGGGAGTTTCGCTTTTGTTACCCAGGCTGGAGTGCAATGGCGCGATCTCGGCTCACCGCAACCTCCGCCTCCTGGGTTCAGGCAATTCTCCTGCCTCAGCCTCCTGAGTAGCTGCGATTACAGGCATGCGCCACCATGCCCAGCTAATTTTTTTTTTGTATTTTTAGTAGAGACGGGGTTTCACCATGTTGACCAGGATGGTCTCGATCTCTTGACCTTGTGATCCACCCGCCTCGGCCTCCCAAAGTGCTGGGATTACAGGCTTGAGCCACCGCGCCCGGCTTTTTTTTTTTTTTTGAGACGGAGTTTCGCTCTTGTTACCCAGGCTGGAGTGCAATGGCGCGATCTCGGCTCACTGCAACCTCCGCCTCCTGGGTTCAGGCAATTCTCCTGCCTCAGCCTCCTGAGTAGCTGGGATTACAGGCACGTGCCACCATGCCCAGCTAATTATTTTTGTATTTTTAGTAGAGACGGGGTTTCACCATGTTGACCATGATGGTCTCGATCTCTTGACCTCGTGATCCACCCGCCTCGGCCTCCCAAAGTGCTGGGATTACAGACTTGAGCCACCGCGCTCGGCAGGTGTAGTGTCTTAAAAGACCATCTGAAAGATGGATACATATTGAAGAAAAGTGGGAATAGCATGTGTGACGGCTTGGAGGTAGAAAGAAGCTTGGTTGGAAACAGAGTGAAGGTTTGTTGGCTGGAGCCCAGGAAGCAAGGGAGAGAGGAGGTCTCCTCTTTGGAAACCACTTTGAGGATTTTGAACTTTATCCTAAGGGGAATAGGATGCCCTTAGAGAATTTAAGGGAGATGAGTAATGTGATCAGATTAGTGTTTGGCAAGATCACTTTGGCTGTAGCTGGAAAAGGATTGGAAGGAAGATTAATGCCCACGAAAGGACGTAGAGAGCCTAAGAGGTTGAGAGGGCAAGATTGCACAAGTCTAGCTGGGCACGATGGCTCATGCTTGTAATCCCAGCACTTTGGGAAGCTGAGGCGGGTGGCTCATCTGAGGTCACGAGTTCAAGACCAGACTGGCCAATGTGCTGAAACCTGGTCTCTACTAAAAATAAAAATATTAGCCAAATGCAGTGGTGTGTGCCTATAATCTTTGTTACTCAGGAGGCTGAGGCATGACAATCACTTGAGCCCAGGAGGCAGAGGTTGCAGTGAGCCATGATGGTGCCACAGCCCTCCAGCCTAAGGGATAGAGCGAGACTGTGTCTCCAGAGGAAAAAAAAAAAAAAGATTACACAAGTCTGGTCAAGGTTTGGGGCAGAGCGGTGGTTTTCAAAAGGTGTTTGTGAGGTAGAGACAATTTCTCTACCAATATTAAGACATTATTGGGCCGGGCACGATGGCTCAAGCCTGTAATCCCAGCACTTTGGGCGGCTGAAGCGGGTGGATCACGAGGTCGAGAGATCAAGACCATCCTGGTCAACATGGTGAAACCCCGTCTCTACTAAAAATACAAAAAATTAGCTGGGTATGGTGGCACGTGCCTGTAATCCCAGCTACTCAGGAGGTTGAGGCAGGAGAATTGCCTGAACCCAGGAGGCGGAGGTTGCGGTGAGCCAAGATCGCGCCATTGCACTCCAGCCTGGGACAACAAGAGCGAAACTCTGCCTCAAAAAAAAAAAAAAAAAAAAAAAAGACATAATCTGTCCTTCCCCTTCTTCTTCTCTCATGAACACGCAGTAGTTTTCCAAAATTTACATGACTTGTGATATCAGAGCTGATTGAATGCGGAAGCAGCTGATTCTATTAAGCCAGATATTGAAGAGATTTGTAAAAATGTAAAATGACCATTTTTCTCACTGAATTATTTGTTTTGGAAAACGGTTATTTTTTATTTTGAAAAGTTAATGCAGAATACATTATGTATTGTAGGTTTGTTATTGTTATTTAAAATTTTTGTTGTGGTAAAATACATATAACATAAAATATACCATCTTATCCTTTTTTTTTTTTTTTTTTGAGACAGTCTTGCTCCATTGCCCAAGCTGGAGTGCAGTGGCACTATCTCTGTTCACTGCAACCTCTGCCTCGTGGATTCAAGCGATTCTCCTGCCACAGCCTCCTGAATAGCTGGGACTATAGGTGCATGCCACCATGCCCAGCTAATTTTTGTATTTTTAGCAGAGATGAGGCTTCACCATGTTGGCCAGGCTGGTCTTGAACGCCTGACCTCATGATTCACCCACCTCAGCCCCCCAAAGTGCTGGGATTACAGACGTAAGCCACTGCACCTGGCCAATTTTTGTATTTTTAGTAGAGACAGGGTTTTGCCATTATGTCCAGGCTGATTTTAAACTCCTGACCTCAAGCGATCCGCCCACCTTGGCCTCCCAAAAGGCTGGGATTATAGGCATGAGCAGCCATGCCTGGTCTTAACCATTTTTTTTTTTTGAGACGGAGTTTTGCTCTTGTTACCCAGGCTGGAGTGCAATGGCGCGATCTCGGCTCACCGCAACCTCTGCCTCCTGGGTTCAGGCAATTCTCCTGCCTCAGCCTCCTGAGTAGCTGGGATTACAGGCATGTGCTACCATGCCCAGCTAATTTTTTGTTTTGTATTTTTAGTAGAGATGGGGTTTCACCATGTTGACCAGGATGGTCTCGATCTCTTGACCTCATGATCCACCCACCTCGGCCTCCCAAAGTGCTTTCAGTGGCATTAAGGAATTTACATTATTGCGCAGCTACCACTACCGTCCATTTACAGAATTCTTTTCACCTTGCAAAACTGAAACTCTATATTCGTCAAACAATAACTCCCTCAGCCCCTGGCAGCCACCATTTTACTTTCTGTCTCTGTGAATTGGACTACTTAGGTACTTCATATGAGTGGTGTCATACAGAATTTGTTCTTTTGTGACTGGCTTATTTCAGTTACCATGATGTCTTCAAGGTTCATTCATATTGTAGTGTGTGCCAGAATTTATTTTCTTTATAAGACGGTCCATTGGATAGATGTGCCACATTTTGCTTCATCTGTCAATAGAAGCTTCTGTCGCATCCATGATTTTGCTATTGTGAATAATGCTGTTGTTATGAACATGGGTGTACCAATATCTCCTTAATTCTTTTAATTCTTTTGGGTGTATATCCAAAAGTAAAATTGGTGGTGTTATTATTTTTAAGTAAATCAATGAACAATTATTTAAACTTCCCTAAGTTTTAGTTTGAATACAACTAAAACTGTTGTATTATTTACAACAGTTTTACAAAAGTTTAATTATTTAAACTTCCCTAAGTTTTAGTTTTAGTTTTGAATACAACAATCAGTAATGCAATTAGTAATGCAATTGACAGATTTTTTTTTTTTTTTTTTTAATTCAGTCCCCGTAGAGACTGCCAAAAATTGCCATTGCCGACTATATTTCAAGTCATCATGGCGGGGTATGGGGAAAAGTTTTCGAATTAGCAATAATGGTGCCTCGGGAAAACCTCATTGGCTATGATACTGCCACTGCACAAAGCTGCATATTCACAGATCTAACCTACATAAAAGCTTTTTAGGGTCTTCAGTAAGTTTTTTTTAAGAGTATAGAGCAGTCTTCCAGGCCCAAAAGTTTGAGAAGGGCTGGTTCAGAGTGGCAGAGGCATGACAAGCTGTCACCTGGCCAGAAATGATGAAGGAGTTTTCTCAACCCTGTTGTGAAACTTGCGATGAGGGTTTCCTGTTAACTCCCCCCACCACGCTCAACCTCTTGTGGGTGGGAGCACTTGACTTCATGAGTGCAGGATCTGGCTGGCCATTTTGTGTGCCTTGCAGGAGTGGCCTTCATGCAGACCCTGTGGCCAGACCAGGCCTGGGTGAACAGGTGTGAGATCTGGTTGGCTGCTTTGAGCACTAGCAGGAGCGGGCTCTGTGGAGGTGCCACAGCGGTACTCAGGTGGGGGTGCTTGTGACCCCCAAAGCCCCAGATGGCGTGTTACAATGCTCTCTTAGCTCCACTGTCCACGGACAGTGGTGTGTTATCAGCTCAGTGAGCCCCTTGCTTCATCGTGTGGGGTGATTGCCCTCCATCAGCAAGGGCAAAGGGCCAGTGTGACAGCTTTTTCTGGGTACCCACATTCAGTGGGTCCCAAGCTTTTGTCCAGAGTCCAAGAAGAATGAAGTCACACAGACACTTGAAGAATGGTAGAAGTAGAGAATTTTATTTGGTGGTGAAAATGGCTCTTGGCAGAGAGGGGAGCTGGAAAGGGGGTGGGTTGGGCAGGTAATCTTCCTTGAAGTTCATCTGTCTCTGGCTGGCTCTTCTCTGATGTTACGTTTTCTCTCCTTTGAAGTCCAGCCATTCCTCTGAAGTCAACTTGCTTCTTCCCCTCTAGTGACTGAATCTGGGGTCTTTATGGGCACAGAATCGGGGGTGGGCTGGGCCATAGGTAGTTTTGGAAAAGGCAACATTTGATTGGTAAAAAAAGACATTATTCAGAAAGAACCAATTGGCAGAGAGCAGGCAAACAAGGATATAAGTTCTCACTTTGGACTGTGAGTTTCAGGCTTTTCAGCTGGAACATGGGGTTTTACTGGGGACCCGCCCCTGTCTGCCTAGAATTCCTCTGCTTCCTGCCTCCATCAGAAAGATAATTAGGAGGTTAATATTGACTGGATGTGGTGACCCTTTGTGGGAAGGGAGAGAAACATGTGGAGTTGGGGTGGCCTCTGGGTTTCTGGCTTGCACAACTGAGTGGAGTGTTGATGGGGCGGGGATGTGATGGGGAAGATGAGGTCAGTTTGGTCCGGGTGAGTTGGAGGTGGCAATAGGGCCCCCACGTTGAGACGGCTTCTAGGTGGTTGGCTGTAAGGATCTAGAGCAGGCATCCCCAAACTTTTTACACAGGGGGCCAGTTCACTGTCCCTCAGACCGTTGGAGGGCTGCCACATACTGTGCTCCTCTCACTGACCACCAATGAAAGAGGTGCCCCTTCCTGAAGTGCGGCAGGGGGCCGGGTAAATGGCCTCAGGGGGCCGCACGCAGCCTTCGGGCTGTAGTTTGGGGACGCCTGTTCATCTAGAGTCTGGAGAGCTGTGTGAGCTGGGAGCTAGACACATGTGATTTGACTTGTGGTTTTCCACTCTTCAGCTGCGTCATGGGCTTGGAAGGTCAGGAGGCGGTTAAATGCTTGTTACCTCGGTATGCACACACAGGAGCTTTGTAAATGCCTGAAGGGTGAGTGGGTGGCACCTTCATACTCCAGTGACAATAACCACCTCCCTCTTCAGCTTGCTACTGGCCTGGCAGCGAGTGAGGCCTCTGCAAGGCCACTGTTGTGAAAGAGACTAATCATTAAACCCAGTCAAGAGCACGAAGCCAGTCGAGGGGCAGTCAGATGCTAACAGGTGACACTGTCTGCCACTGTGAAACCCACTTACACCAAAGAATGCTAATAGGCCAGGTGCAAACTGTCACCTGAGCTGACCTTAAAAAAACCCCTTCATAGAGTTGGTGGGGGGAGAACCTAAACAGCCAACCAACCGCATACATCTGCAAGTAAACAGAGAAGCTAACGAAACCCACTGCCTCTCTCCCCAGGAACCAGCTAGAGCCTGGAGTGCTCTTTTGTTTCATGAACTAGCAGTGTTTTACAATTCATTGATCAAGGGGCCAAGAAACCCAGTGTCTGGCATTTTGAAGACTGACGCAAAAGAAGAACACCAGAAATATTGAGCCTGTCTTGGATTATTTTGGCATTTTGGTCATTGTGGATTTGAATGTAAATTTTGACTTTTTAAAACATTGCCATACAATGCTACTCATTGCGATAGTAATACTGCTTTTGCTTTTTTTTTGGCAGCCCCTTAAACTTTACACCTGAGTGGATGTTTCTCTTGCCTCATCCTGGTGTAGGTTCTGAAAAAGCCCCTGAGAATCACCCAGTGCCTCCCGCCCGATCAGAGAGAGAAAGGGAGGTAATGATTGCAGGGCATCCAGCAAGGAGAATCAGGCAGCTCATGCTGAAGACCTGAACTCCCTCGTGGCTTACAGTAAGGGCTTTTAAAGGTGGGGTGGCAGGTGTTACAGGCGATGTCATAAATCAATACATGGAGGCAGACTGGGCAGTGGCCCACAGCTGTGGCACGCACCTGTGGGCCCAGCTACTCAGGAGGCTGAGGTGAGAGGATCACTTGAGCCTGGCAGGCTGAGGCTGCAGTGAGCTGTGATCATGCCACCGCACTGCAGCCTGAGCAGCAGAGTGAGACTCGTTCTCAAACACCCCCACCACCAAACCCCCCAAAATGTGGAGGCTGTGGACTGGTTGGACCTAAATAGTCTGGGCACCTTGGGGCGGGGGCATGGGTCATAGGTGGGCTCAGAGATTTTCTGATTTGTTATTGGTTAAGGAAGAGAAGCCCTGTCTAAACATTCGGGATCATCAGAAAAGAACTTTAGCTCCGGCTCGTGGGCGTGGCCTCCTCCAGGCCCCTCAGGAAGAACAGGGTGGCGGACAGAGGTTAGTCCCTGGCTCCCCCTTACCTGTGGTCTACGTGCCAGGGGCGTCTGGGTTTCTGAAAAATCACATAAATTAAGAGGTTATCTATCTCTGGTTTCCAGAGGGAATATCCCATGACTGGAGCTTCCTTGGCTGTCGATTCAGGCTACAGCTACCTTCTTGCTTATCAGTTTCTCATTTGTTTCTCAGGGAGAGCTAGGTGCCCGGAAGTTCATTTGAAGGAATTCAAGATTTTCCTTTATTTCCATGCCTGGGGGTTGCCCAGCAGGCTGCTAAGAGAAGTCCTTGGCCCCTCTCAGGGTGAGTGAGTGAGTGATGACCTCATAGATTCCTTAACCATGGGTGCCTGGCTTTGCATTATCCAAGTTTCAGGCAAGATGTGCCAGCCTCTGTGTTCCCCTGTTGTTGATCATCCTTGCGGTCTTTGTCACCCTATCTTGGGGGTATCTTATTTATTTATTTAATTTTGTTTGAGATGGAGTTTCGCTCTTGTTGCCAAGGCTGGAGTGCAATGGCGCAATCTTGGCTCACTGCAACCTCCACCTCCCGGGTCCAAACGATTCTTCTGCCTCAGTCTCCGGAGTAGCTGGGATTACAGGCATGCGCCACCTAATTTTGTATTTTTAGTAGAGACGGGGTTTCTCCATGTTGGTCAGGCTGGTCTCGAGCTCCTGACCTCAGGCAACCCGCCTGCCTCGGCCTCCCAGAGTGCTGGGATTACAGGCATGAGCCACTGCACCTGGCCTCCTTGGGTATTTAAAAAAAATTGCTCACTCCCCATCGCCCACGAGAACATGGGCCTGTGTGGGCAGGGATCTTGTTTGCTTTGCTGACTAGGTCAGCAATGCCTGGAATGAGGCCTGATACAAAGTCAGTGCTCTAGAAACAGTTCATGAATGAAAAACAGCTGATGGTTCGCAAGCCCTTGCCATGTGATGATCACCCCACCTGCAGCAGCTCATTTAATACTCACAACAACCTTGCAAGGCAGGTACTATTCTTGTCGCCATTTGACAGGTGGGAAAACTGAGGCACAGAGTGGTCTGTAACTTGCCTAAGGCCATATGGCTAGTAAGCAGTGAAGCTGAGATTCGAACCTGAGTAGTCTGGCTCTAGAGCGGGGATTCTCACCCTCGGCATGATTGACATTTTGGGCTGGATACCTCTTTGTGGTGGGGGCTGTCCTGTGCATTGCGGGCTATTTATCAGCATCTCTGGTCTTTACCTAGCAGATGTGAGTATCACCCGGCCTCCTCAACTGTGACCACCAAGAACGTGTCCAGACTCTGGGGCGAGGAGCAAAATCACCCTGTTGGCAATTGCTGCTCTAGATTTTCTGTTTTTGTTTTGAGTCGGAGTCTTGCTCTGTTGCCTATGCTGGAGTGCAATGGTGTGATCTTGGCTCACCGAAGCCTCCACCTCTGGGTTTCAAGCAGTTCTCCTGCCTCAGCCTCCTGAGTAGGTGGGATTACAGGCGCCTGGCATCACGCCCAGCTAATTTTTGTATTTTTAGTAGAGACGGGGTTTCACCGTATTGGCCAGCCTGGTTTGAACTCCTGACGTCAGGCGATCTGCCCGCCTAGGCTGGGATTACAGGCGTGAGCCACCGGGCCCAGCCTGCTCCAGAATTTTCAATTACTCCACCACGCCGTCTTCCTATGTCGAATAGATGAAGAAATGCTGAGTTCCAATGTGATGCATTCATTGCCCCAGCATCTGCTTGTGGGGAAGAAACCCCAAGTTCAGCACGTGCCTTGATGGCTGGTCCTTGCCCTGGCAGACTGCCGGGCACCCTCCCAAACACGGAGAGAAAGGAAAATCTTGATTTCCTTGAAGAGAAATTCCAGGTACCTGGCTTGCCCTGAGAAGCAAATGAGCAACTTGATAAACAAGAAAATAACAGTCACTTAAAACCCTAGCCAAAGAAATACAGTGTGGTACTAATTATCACAAGGTACACATGGAATGTTCCCTATGGAAACTAAAGATAACGTCTTAACACATGTCCCTGAGTTGTTTTTC